ACTCTCACCAAGAACACATATTTTTCACACAATCATTTGGCTTAACTGTGTCATATATAAAATGTTACTGGGTTTTGTTTTGTGACTTAATCTAAGAATCTTCCTATTAATGTGTTTTTTACATTTACAAATATTGACATAAGAGACATGTTTCCACCTAATATACACTATTTCATGTCAGTTTCTAACCTTATTTTTGTGTGTGTCTGTTTTAATTGGGCAATTTATGCTTGGAAATTCTACTGCCAGGAATTCATTCTATGCATATATTTGCATAAGAAAACATGATGCATACAATGATAATGTGTCATGAGCTTTTCAATTAATACAATTAAAACTTAACCACCTTCCTTAAAACTAAACAAAATTTATAGGCTTACGTATCCAAAAAGGACAGAGTCAGGGCAAAGTTCAGACAAGATTAGAGCAGCAGTTTATGATGTCACGGAGCCTGCAGCCCAAATTCTTGGCTCTGCTGTCTGTGGCGTTTTGGCTTCATCCTCAGGCTGATTCCCTGCTGTTAACAAAAATGTCTACATCGAGAACAGGGCTTGCATCCACATACTACCCCATAGTTGGGAAGAACAGTGTTTTTGTCTGAAGTTTCAGAACTACTGAGAATCAATCTGACTGAACCACGTTAGGTCACGTGTCCGCACTGAATGGATCACTGCCGTGGGAGTGGGGGATGACAGCCCAGAACCGGAGCTGGAGAAGGGGGTGGAGTCTGTTCCTCAGAACTACCGGGATACCCAAACAGAAGTCATAGATTGTTGGGAGAGGAACGCAGAAACAACAAGTTTGTGGTGCAGTTCACTCCTCTGGCTATTCCTCATGCAAGTACATTTTTCTTCTGATACACACTTCCACCAAGGATCACAGCTCCATGATGTGCACTCAGCTTTTCCCAAAAGGAAGTCAAGTCAAACTCTCCTCCAATGAACACCGCATAAGAATATCACGGGAGCTTGGTCCAAACGGTGACACGTGCTCCTTGGTCAGACAGTTCATTTATTCGCAGTTCTATTCTCCAGGAAGATTTCCTTGGTCCGTTGTCTTCCAAAGCCACAGTGAGGATGAGAACTGGAGAAAATGCAGCTTCTAGGAGCTCCCTTACCATTTGGTACAAATTTGAAGGCCTGGATGGCAAGCCTGCAATTGCTTAATCCATAGGGAAATTCTCAGATCTTCCAATAAGGAATTAAAAAGTGGTTTTAATATAAAAATTCATTTAAAATTTTTCAATTTCTCTTTGGCTTCTCATTTTTTATTATGTTAGGCCATGTTGTCCAATATAGCTCCCAAAATGGTACATAATAAATTCAAATGATGAGAGAAAATTTTTTAATTCTACATTATCAACAGTAGAATTATGCTGCAGTGTTTGATGTAAACCTTCTTTCACTATCAAATTCCCAAGGAAAAATTTAAAAAGTTAAACCCCTTTGGGGCTGGTCTAGTGGCGTAGTGGTTAAATTTGTGTGCTTCGCTTCAGTAGCCCAGGGTTTGCGGGTTCGGATCTGGGCGTGGACAGACACTCTTCTCATTAAGCTATGCTATGGCAAGTGTCCCACATGCAACATAGAGGAAGATTGGCATGGATATTGGCTCATGACAATCTTCCTCAAGCAAAAAGAGTAAGATTGGCAGTAGATGTTGGCTCAGCACCAATCTTCCTCACCCTAAAAAAAAAAAGAACAGTTAAACCCCTTTACCCTGGATGTTAAAAAAAAGTCCAAAAGTCACCTTACCACATTTTCTTATTTCACTAACTCACCCAGAGATGTCTCCCTCAGATTCTGTGTAACGTCGGGGATTTAGCAGCATTCCAACTTTTCTCAGCTCCACATTTACAAAATATAGAAAACAAGCCAAAAATAAGCCCCTTGAACAGTTTCCCCAAGGAAAATTAGGTTTCCAGAACCCCATAATTAACCTACAACTATAACATGTTTCCAAATACCAAGCAGTAACTCAGGAGGATCCGAAGGAAGGAGGGTAGATGGAGGAAAAGAAACCTTGCTTTTCATCCTCAAGGATGCCAATCAATTCCAGTTTTTGAAGATCAATGATGTGTGAATTTAAAACTAGTTAAAATTGAATTTGAGTATCTTTTCATGCTGTCTTCATGGTGGGGTGGTGAAGAAACCTGTGTGTGCACACTGATGTCTCTCTGAGAGAGCAGCCTTTGAGCAATTACAGTGCTGTATTAATCAGAGTTGTCCAGAGAAAAAGAACCAATACAATATAGAGATTAGATAGAGATAGAGATAGAGTCATGCATGACATAATGATGTTTTGGTCAATGACAGACCGCACATACAAATGGTGGTCCCATAAGATTAGTACTACATAGCTTGTGTGCATAGCAGGTTATACTACCTAGGTTTGTGCAAGTATACTCTATGATGTCTGCACAACAAAACTGCCTAACGATGCATTTCTCAGAATGTATCCTTGTTGTTAAGCAACGCATGACTGTACATATAAGAGATTTGTTATAGCGGTTAGCTCACGTGGTTATGGACACCAAGAAATCCCATGATCTGCTGCCTGCATGCTGGAGAACTGGAAAGCTGGTAGTGTAATTCAGTTCTAGTCCAAAGGCTTGAGAGTCAAGAGTGCCAATGTCTGAGAGCAGGATAAGACGGATGTCTCAGCTCAAGCAGGGAAAACCAATTCACCCTTCCTCTGCCTTTTTGTTCTATTCAGGCCCTCAACAGATTGAATGATGCCCAACCTCATCAGGGAGGGCCATCTTCTTTACCCAGTCAGCCGATTCAAATTCAAACATTATCTCTTCTGGAGACACCCTCACAGATACACCCAGGAATGCTTTACCATCTCTCTGGGCATCCCTTAGCCCAGTCAAGTTGACCCACGAAATTAACCATCACAGGTACTTTGCAAAGTTTAGAACTTTGGTGGCTTCTCTGTACCAAGTCACTCTGGAGGTACTTATGTCTCATTCAGCTTATTCAAAACCTCTTGATGTCTGTTTCCTCTCTGGTTTCTGTGTTCCTGTCGCCCTCATGCTGCATCGAATATGAGAACTCTCTGGGAATACAGTCCTTTGGCTGGAATCACTTAGGCCTACAAAACCAGCACCCAGGTGAAGGTTTTCCCTTGTCCTCACTCTAATTTCAGGCAAAGAATCTCTCAGAGAAATTCTGACTAAAGCTTCTATCTATACCTGTGAAGCTAGAACCCCCAAGAGTCTAAAGACGGCCATTTCCTCTGCCAAAGAGCTCCATTCTAGAACCTAGCTTTTCCTCCGCTTTTAAATCCACAGGCCTTCAGTGTGGCACTTCACACATAAATACTATGGTACCTCAAAGTAGCAGAAATATTTCTTTTCTCTGCAGCATTTTTTTTCTACAGGAATCACACATGACGCTAATATTCTATTTCCTTCTGTAGGTTTCCTACTCTCTGAAAGACTCAGTGGAGCTACTAAGAATTCATCTGCTTCTTAAATTGGCCCATTCCCTTATCTATTGATGAAAAGTTGATGTTGTTCATTGATTAGAGTATATTCTATTTTCCTTTTCCTTGTTTGTGACCTGGGCATTTTGTTCTCCTAACGTACTCCCTACATTGAGTCTTCAAGACTCTCAATGTCCCAGAAGCATCCACCATTCAAACAAGGCTTGTTCACCTCGTCACCCAGTATTATATGAACCACCTAAGAGATATAATTCCATTTTATCAACTTCTAACCGAGAATGAACTCAGTTGATTGTTGACTTGCAGCCACCCAATCAAGGCTGCAACAGACACCTCAGTCTCCCCAAATGCTGGCTTTTACTTATTTTTTAAAGTTTCTAGTCTCTGGATACATATTTTGGGGGAATTGAGGGACTACTAAATAACACCTCTTTCTTCTCACCTCAGCTAATACTCAGATGAAAACCAAAATATCACTTTATTCCTGATAAGCTGAAAGGAAAGCATTCCTTCAGTTCGAGACCAAATGCAATTAAATCGATGTTCCCAAACAGTCACTGGCAGAGCTGGGCCACCCTAGGCCTCTCCCCTAAGATGAGGCACCTCCCACCCCAGAAGGGGAAGAGCAGAGTAGACTTACTGCTTTCCAGTGGGCAGACTGGCTCCAGAAAGAGAGAAGAAACTCAGAGGAGCTGAGCTGTCCAAACCCAACGCCTAGTTCCAAACTCTGTGATTATGTTCATCCCTCCTTCCCTGAAAAGGAGCAGGTGAAGGAGTAGGGAGAAGGTGTGTTTCTCTATGGGAAGTTCCCCCATAGGAAACGTGAAGCCAGAGAAAGGAAGTTCCCTCCTAACTGTGGAGACATCTGGGGAAGGAGAAAAGGGGAGGAGGTGGAAGCTTCAGAGAGGCCTCTGACATTTCATTTCTGAGGGGGGAAAGGGTGAATCTAAATAAATACAGAAGACAAATCCTGAAAATGCTTGAATCTCTTGGGCAAATATGCACATATCAGTTTTATTATTTTTATATTTTATCTATATTTCCAAAATTTTACAATTAATATGTAAATGTTAAAAATTATTCTCAAACACTTATCATCCTACCATTGTATAAAGCAGAGAGCTGATCTTTTCAGAAGCAATACAAGAAAAAAAAGTCTCAAAAAAGAGAGCTGTAAGTACCCTATGAAGCACAGATCTGTTTAATTACTGTTTAAGGTACCGTTTTTACACAACTATACAGCTCATTAGAGCCCCTGAGTGGCATATATATATATGTGAAATTGATATATATATGAACTATATAGATATAAAAAATATTATATTTAAATATAATATATTATATATATTATATACATTACATATATAATATATAAATTATATGTATAATATATTATATATACTATATTATTTAATATAAACATATAATATATATGTATGTATATATGTATTATATATTTATATTAAATAATATATTATTTATTATATATGATTATATATATTAAATATATATTATATTTAAATATATAAGTATAAAAAATATATATACTTTTTGCTTAATCTTCTTTCTTCTTCTCTTCTCTCTGTGTTTCAATGCAGCCCCTCAAACAATATTGAGTACTCTTTTCACAACGAGATGTCATGCAGATAAGATGAATCATTGAGGGCGGGAGTGCTCCTGCTTCCAGAACTGAAGGGAAGGAAAGTTTCCAGCCTAAGAGATACTTTATATTAACCAAGCAGTAGATTTCCTCTCAAACAAATTGAAAGTAACTGGAAGATAAATCTCATAAAAACATATCAAGTTTCCATTTCCCAATAGTTATACACCACCATGTATTCCTTTCCCTCCTCACCCCACGTTTAGGTACCATGAACGTTTTTTGTAAACTTGGGAGACAAAGAAGTCTCTGACTCATGCAGTGACCAGTAGGTGACATTCTACTGTGACCTCCAAGGTTAGCACTAGTGGCAGAGCTGCTGCTGGCTTGGAACATTTATTCTTTTGCTTCTCTTTTTTTTGTGTGAGGAAGATTGGCCCTGAGCTAACATCTGTTGCCAGTCTTCCTCATTTTGCTTGAGGAAGATTGTCTCTGAGCTAACATATGTGCCTATCTTCCTCTATTTTATGTGGGATGCCGCCACAGCGTGGCTTGACAAGTGGTGCTAGGTCCGTGCCCAGGATCCAAGCCTGTGAACCCTGGGCCACCGAAGCAGAGCATGTGAACTTAACCACTATGCCACTGGGCTGGCCCCCGATTTATTCTTATTTTTATTTTTAAGGGCAGAAGCAAAGGAAGTCCCCACATCCACTCATGGAAAATAAAAATTGCAATTTCCACTGCAGCCGCCAGAAGCCACGGCAGAGAGGCTACTGTGTGGGCAAGTCCTGTTCTGGAGCTTAAGGTCACTGACCTCAGCATTGCCACAAGTGGAACTTATCTGCCCCTGGAGCTCAGGGTCAGTCTGGGCTCAGAGAGTCACGCACGTCTAACCCTGCAGATAAGATGCCTGGGCACTTTCCCTCAAGAAGCCTCACCATTTACTTCCTCAAACACAAAATATTTGGTCTCGAGCAAGTCCCTTCACTTCTCAGTGTCTTCCTCTGTTTGTCTGCAAAATAGGGAGAGTTACACATATAATAGCACCAGATGCTAATAGGATGAGAAGAAATATGTCAAACACTTAGAACAGTGACTTGGCACAGTGCCATTTCATTAGTACGCATGCATTTCCTTTTCCTCATCTTCTATTTCTCCCTGCCTTGCTTTGCTGGACAATAAAGCTAGTATACCCTTCCAGAGCCTGTTTCCTTTATTTTCTCCAGAGAACCCATTCTCCCCCTTCCCCCACACCACCACACAATCACACACAGGTCCACCCAAGTGACTTTCTGGTACCAGTCCTGCTAGACCAAACAGAAAGAAAAGCACTAGAAGGTGGAAATTTTACATCTTAATTCTTCATACCTTAGATAATGCTAAATGTTCCACCTTCCTTCTGACGGGTGCACTTTCAACGCATACACAATACCACCACATATGAGCATGCAGGGGGAACACAGCACAGATCTAAGAGACGACATTCACTTTTGCAACCATCATGAATTTCTGCACTTTTTACAATCGTCCAGCAGATGACAGCAAAGGATCCTCAGGAAGGGCAGCTTTTTCTAATTAAGCCTCAGAAGGCATTGTAAAATCTGAAGTTAAAGTGTCCATCTGGACATAACAGGACTTACGTGGGCAGGAGACTGCTCAGTTCCATCTGAGGCCAAGAGACAATAGATAACACAGTGTCATTGCAAGGGTAGGGCGGTGGGAGGGAACAGGAACAGGCAAGGAACAGGTCATTTTTAGATTAGAATCTAGACCAACAGAAGATTTTTTTTTCGGGGAAGGAGTATTTTATTATCAGTATATTTAGAATTGCTTACACGTGGATGATAAAAGGCAGATGGCAGTTCTGCTATTGTTTTAAAAGTTTCTACAGACAATGCTTCCCCTATTGCCTGCACCTGGAGGGACTGCCCCTGTTCTTGATTTGCCATGGAGTTGACAATTGCTTTCAGTTTACAAAATGAAATGCCATTCACCCAAGCAGAAATTACAAGAGAGTTAGCCAAAAACGGTTCTCTCAACTAGCCTATAAAAGAAGTTTAAAGACTAAGTTGGAACCCAGAGAATTTTGCTAGAAACAGAATATTCCTTGAGAGCTTTATTGGAGAATTCCATTGGAAGAAAACTGTTGACGTTCTGTGGGGTTTTCTCCTTCCTCCCTCTGTCGGAGAAGGAAGGAAGATCTTTCCCCTCGTCTCTAAGCTCAGAGACAGAGGCTAGAATGGGACCATGTGGGGAGCTTAATGTAGATCTTCACAGTTTGGGGAAGATGGTAGACTTTAGTCTAACACGCTCTGAGGAACCGAAAGCCTAAGGCTGGGGCTTTCGACTCTGATGGCCAGCGTATTTACCTATTGCTGCATAGCAAATTGCCACAACCTTAGAGGTTTAAAATAACTTACCTTTATTATCTCACAGTTTCAATGGGTCAGGACTCTGGATATGGCTTAATGGGGTTCTTTGCTTCATGGTCTCACAAGGCTGCAGTCAAGGTGTTGGCAGGGTTTGGTCTCATCCGAGGCTTGGCTGAAGAAGGATCCACTTTCAAGTCTCCACTGTTGGTGACAAAATCCAATTCTTTGCAGTTATGGGACAAAGAGCCCCATTTTCCTGCTGGGTGTTGGCTGGAGGTCTTTGTAGGCTGTTGGCCAGAGTTAGCTGGCCTGTCGGCTATAAGCAGGCTGTTCCTAAAGGCTGCTTGCAGTTCCTTGCCACATGGAGCTCCCCAACATAGCTGCTTGGTCCCTCAAAACCAGCAAGGGAGAGAGAGAGAGAGACACCAGTAAGACAGATGCTACAGTCTTCTGCAATATAATCGTGGAATCACATACACATAATCACATACACTTGTCACTCTTGCCATATTCTATTCATTCAAAGCAAGCCACAGCTCTTGCCTATACTCAAGGGGAAGCAATAACAAATGGGCATGAACACCAGGAGGCAGGAATCATGAGACAGATACGAAGTCTGTCTGCCATAGCTACGCAAGAGTAGGTTGGATTGGGATGACCTGTCCTTCTACAGGTAAACCATGTGGAAGAGATTCCATGGGTGGTCTTAGAGCTTGCTCCAAAAGGACATCAGGAGGGAGCAAGCAGACCTTGAAGAGAATGAGGCTGGAGATTTTCTGATGGACACCCAGGGATGGGACCTAGGAGGAATCCTGAGCAACCAGCTGAATAAGTGCATTAAAATACTGAGAGAACCACAGCCAATGAATCCCAGTGATGGAGCCGCAAAACACTCAACCCCTACCAGCCTGACATCAAGTTGGGAAAGTACCAGTCAAGGAAGACATTTTCTAGTCCTCAACTCTTCTCATTCCTGCCCTTGATTCTGCAAGGATCAGAAATCCCTCTTAGTGAGCTAGGGAAGATGGCTAGAAAAAGACAGCACACTTTCCTGCCTCCCATGATAGGCATCCTGTCTAAGGCAGACCCAAACTGATGGAAGGAAGAAGTTTTCACTATAAATGACAGTTGAGTTTTGATTCTTACACAAGACTGAACATTATAATTACTGAAACGATCAGAGAATCCTCACTCACTGACAGTAACTTACCTTAGATTTTAAATAAGAAGCTGAAGAGAACTAGCCCCACTGAGGATGTTTGGAAAGGACAGTTGTGGGAAAAGAAAGAGGTAGGTTTCTTCGAGTTTTATGAGTCCCACTTATTCAAGTACAAGTTACAAAGATTTTGAAAACCCAAATAGAAAAAGTACTATATTATTTTTGTGTTCTCCATATCGCATATACTCAAGCTTTAGGAATTGAGCTATTAAATTTCTTAACACTGTGTGGTGCTCCTTAAAGAAGAATTGGGATTTTTTCAAGTGCTCAATCTTAGAAAAAGTGCACTATCCCCAAATTCTATAATTAAAAAACCATAACTGTAAACCAGTTGTAATATTATTTGCTTAATTAACTCACTTTTTCTACTTAAATAAATGAATTTAAAAATAAAAAATGTCATCGCTGTACATTTTTTGTGGAGTATTATTTGTGATAGTAAAAGGTAACCGCAAATAAATGTAATTTAATGTAAAAAATCATTACATTTTAAAACAAATAATTAAGAAATATCTCTAACAATAAATCTAGTTGATTCTTTAATGACAAGAATTAATGTGATTATTATTGGTTAAGTGCTGAAGGGACTTTCTCTGAATACCACTTACTTAAAATGAAGATGACTTTCATATCAATAAGGTAATTGTCACTTTTAAAAATTTAACCAATATTAAGAATCTCAAATCACAGGTGTATTGAATCAGAAGGTTCATAAAATTTTAATCCCATTATCTGAAATTTTGACACGTCAAAGAGTAAAATAAATAACACTTGAGCTTACAAAAAATGAATCAATAAATAAAGCCGAGTTTATGTGTTTATTTATGTACCTAGTGAGGAAACAACCCAGAGAGGAAATTCATTAAGTATTCACTGAGTGGGGAAAGTCAGGGGTTTTCCAACTGGTAAGCAAGACATTTCATACTGGTTATGTAAACTGAAAACTAACCCTCTGCATGGGAAAAAATGAGTTGTTTAAAACAAGTCCTGCTATTCAAATTTTATAATTATTTACCAGCTTCAGTGGGTTGAAAAGGTTGTAATGAGACACAACACTCAGTTTTGATTAATTTCCTACCAATATTTACCTTTTACACTCAAAATTAATTGCTATCCAAAATCATAGCAAAAAATTAATGAACAAATTTTGGTCTTTAAAATGCCGTTAAAATTTAATATAGGTGTGTGTGTGTTTAAAAATAAAATATAAAACTCTTCCAAATGCATTTTAATAACATCTGCAATGTGCTGGTAAAATGGCTCCATATCCATTCACTGCTACTATCTAGGGTTTAAGAAAATACTTTAGAAGAAATCTTATCAAGTGTTAAATGTATCATTTCATAATTTTGCAAATATTTTCGCTAAATCTTCAAATGAAATATGCAAAGAATCCTGCTGCCCAAGATGAAGACACACCTCAATAGAAATTATCTTGCAAATTCAACACTAATTATAAATAGATAAGTTGCCTCTTCATTAACCTGTCTCCCTATCATTCTTGCAAAAGGGAGGTGACTTTATTCAGGATTGGTACAGTGCACAGCTGAGAGACAATATTTTCCAGCCTTCATGGTGGATAGAAATGGCAATGCGATATGGTTCTGGCCGAGGAGACCTAAGAAGAATTTTGCAAGAGTTTCTTGAGAATGTGTCAATTTCTTATTTAGGTGCTTCACCTCCCCTTCATATCTTTCTTCTTCTTCCTACAGGGAAGGAGGATGGAAAGCCTATAATGCAGCATCCAGCTACCATACAGTTCCCATGAGGATGAAAGCCCACATTATGGATAGCTGAGCAAAAAGACTGACGGAGTTCAAAACATTGATGATATCATGTATCTTCTTCATTAGTTCTAGACAGCCTCTCCAGACTTCTTGGATAAGCCTAATTTCCTAAGCTTTGGTATTCAGGGATTATTGGCATTGAATTAAATTCAATGTCTGACAGACTAATATAAGCATTTCTAGAAAGAATAAAAATAGTTTTTACAAGCGAGCCAATAAACCTCAAGATATCCTAATGTGAAAAGTGAGGTTCAAAATGTTTCTTCACTATGAATTACCTCTATATCTCTTCCCACACTTTTGGAGGCACCATTGTTTAATGTTATAGTTGGAATGGCTTTAGAAAGCCTCTGGTTTTGTTCATTCCTAGCATTTAATGGATGGAGAAGCTGGGCTACAGAGTTATGATTTTGATACAGAGTTCCTAATTCCACGACCAGTGCTGTTTCTTACATGTTGTGTTGACTACAGAGGTCCATGTCACCTATTCTCTTCCACTTATTGTTTATGCTCTACAGAACTATTAATATCTCAGGGAAGCAAGGTTAGTTAATAATGGAACATGTGTCAGTAACTCAAAAATGGGCTCATTCTCGAAGACAAGAGTGACAGCATTACACTAGTTTGGATTCTTAGAGTCTCATAAATGCTTTTACCGATAATTGCATCAAAATATCTTACAGTGACTCTGGACGTAAGTGGATCACAGGTGTAGATGATTATCTTCAAATGCAATTGTTGGAGAGACCACAGATTTAGCTAGTAAATTGCCTGTGCTAGGGATAGGGACATCCCAGTTTGTTTTTCGTGAAGCTTTCATGTATGGAAAATGCAATGGGTTTAGAGTATGAAGAACAGGATTCAGTTTCTAGCTTGTACAATTACTAGCTGTGTGAATAATCACACGAAAATTTTGGCAACAATATTATTTGTGTTGTATTTTGTTGGGGGTGGGGATTGCTTGCATATATATTTGTGTCAGTATTTTTTACGTCTTTTTGGTTCTGCTGGTCTCTGTGTGTCTACCTATGTCTATACTGCTCACATCAGCCCAGGTAGATTCTTTAGCCATCGACTAGACATTGGCTTCCCGTTTGTTCACTGCACGTACGAAAATGTAGAGTAATCATGTGTGTGACTTTGTCATGCTTCCAGAACTTCTGGTTCAAAATAAACAGATCTTCCTCGACATGAACGGAGAATCCACCCAGTGTCACCAGAATGATCTCGTGAAGATATGTGGGTAGGAGACACTCTCCTGTGCTGTGGATAGTGAGATGACCTACAAAGAATTAAAGAAATAAAACTACTAATCGAATAATGTTGTGCTTTTTTTTCTCCTTAGTGGTATAAGAGTTATACCCAGAGGAATAAACAAATGTAAGGAAAGGAAAAGGAATTTTTACCTACTTCTAGAGGGAAAGGAACATGATTATAAAGGCTCTCAAATTTAAAGGAGTTCTATTTGATTTCTGGAGACTTCAAAGAGCTTGTACAAATTTATAATAATAGGTATTAGGGACTCAGGAAAGAGGAAAAAAACAAAGTGTGCAGAAAGGAACAATGCCGTTTTAGTTAAGGGAAGTAGATAGTGATCTGGTGAAGATAAGAAACAAAGAAACACTCATTGGTATCAGGCCAGTTTTAAGAAATCCTTTTGTGTTAAGCCCCTTTTTAACAGATGTTAACAACAGAAGTTTATAACAGCGTTAATAGTACTTGGTTTGAAAAAAAAACCTATGTGCCAGATTGACTTAACTCTCCTAATTATGGCAAATTCTTGGAACAGATTGCTTAGTTCAATTGAGTTTTAAAGACAGTGGTCTGTCCTCTTCCCAAATTATCACAGAATAAAAAACCACCGGGGCCTGTCAGTATTTTTATGTTTAAAGAGTTCAATGATGTTAGTAAGGATTGGGAATCGATTTAATTGAAGCCTCCTAAGATTCCTTACATATCTTCTAAGTCAGATAAATGATCCCTCTTCACTCTAAACATTTTAAATTATGCAAATGTAAGCAATCGTGTTAAACTAAATTGGATTGTAATGACTAAAGCCTTAATCAGAATGGACTCTTTTACATTTAGACAAGTACTAGAAATTGTGTGTATGTGCCTTTACTCCACTTTCACTAGTTAATTAAATTTTGAGTGGTCATTTTTCTCTGACAAGTTTTTAATATTGAGTTCTTTAGCACTAATTTAAAATGTAATTACAAGGGCCTTACTTTAAGAGAGTAGTCTTATATTAAACACAAGGAATTAATGAGTAATCTTGATTAACATGAGCATTTTTAAGGAAATTAAAATTCACAGACACAAAGAAAGCAAAAGCCACCATACTACAGTTTTTGTGCCTATATTCAACATTTTTGTTCCTCACAGCATTCTAATTAGAGGGTAAAATCAATATAGAAAAACCATTGTCATATGCTTGATAAAATGTCTCATAATTTAGAAGCAAAATGCAATGTTCTAAATAATACTATCTAAATATATTTAATATTAATGTGTATGTATAAGATATGTTAAAATTAACGTATTTTTACAAGAAGATTATTGAGAAAACAGAGAGGATAGATCTGGTAATCCAGATGGCAAAGATTTGCCTCACCTGATGCAAACTGCAACCAAGTTTTCATGAAAAAAATCTTTATTTTTATGATTGCATAAATGAGATCCAGATTGTTAACTGCTAATTTTTCAAACGGAGGTGAACTGTAAACAGACAAACCACAATTGCTCAATAATGTGCATAGATTCCCTGCAGTCTTCTTTGTTCTTATTTTCAGACCACAAGTCATGAAACGCTTCTATATAAAGGATAGCATGAAATAAAGCCTTTTAGTTTTAGTAAATATACTTTGCCTTTCCATCTGAAAATGCAGAAAAACCTGCAGCATGACCTGGTGAGAAAAGTTGAGTCCTCATTTTAAACAGCATTAGTATTATAATTTCACCATCCCTGTGGTCAGACTCCCAGTTTCAGCTTAAGTATGCTGGCAATCTTTGATACTCACTGCAGCATCCCTGTCTTCACCTACGTCTTCACCTCCAGGTTATTCCTCCTCTTCTTCTTCCAGCCATTTTATAAGTGGTTCACTTTGACAGCAATTTGTTTAGTAGTTCTCTTGAGCCCTAACTTCTTAGATACCTTTCCCAAAGAGCTGATGATAACCTCTTCTTCCAAAAGCCCTGTGACCTGTTTCTCCTTCAAAATACTTAGAATGTTAAAGACAGTCTGACCTTGAAGAATTGCTACTATATACTTCCAAACCTGAAGGAACTCCTGAGCCTTTTGTCATTACTGTGTCAAACTGTAGAAAATAGCATTGGTATTTCTTAATTTCCTCTCTAATCTTATCATTTAAAAAACAAAAAAACAAACTCTTGTCAAAACAAGAGAACCCGTCATGGCTTTTATACCCAGTTTTTCTGCTCCTGCAACAATTTCCTTGTCAAAAGAATCTAAAAACCCTCTTCCTTTTTTCTTATAAAAAAATAAAGCAAGGTATTGATCCGCTCTTCAGCTGTCCTTTCAGCACCATCAGTTGTCAAAATGTTTGTATGATCATCAATTTCCTCCTTGGAGCTGCCTCGGCTCTGTCATCCTTCTCATGGTCCTTCTCCTCATGTTCCTTGTGCATGACAACTGGCTGCCTTCTGAAATGGCAGTGTTGTCTCGCAGCTGGATACAGAGCAGTTCTCTTTGTCTTTGCCGTGTCTAGTTTCTTTTCCTCTTCTTTTTCTCCCGTGCCACTGTCACCAAATACACAGAGTTTACAATTTGTGTCAGGCGTGCTTCCATAACTACGGGACTTCCAAGCATTGCCTGTGGTTTCCAGCTTGGGAATGACATCCAAAACAGCTTCAGGATTCTCACACTGGGCCAGAGAACAAATTTTTCAATAAATCCGTCAACATATGTCCAATCCTATTCACCTCATGAGATCTATTTAAATGACGTTCTTAACATCAACTCTGTTCTATTGGTCTCTTCCTCTCTTTGCACCATCTTGTCACTAGTCTTATTACTAAGGCTGTATAGTCTCTCTTAACTACTCTTTTATTTTAGTGTAATGTAAGCCACACAAAGGCAGATGATTTTGGCTGTTTTGTTCATTGATGCACCCTATCTTAGTTAGCTTGGGCTGCTATAACAAAATACCATAGACTGGGTAGCTTAAACAACAGATATTAATTCCTCACAGTTATGGAGGCTGAGAAGTCCAAGGTCAAGGTGCCAGCAGATTTCATGTCTGATGAGAGCTCTCTTCCTAGTTAGCAGAAGGCCACCTTCTTGCTGTGTCCTCACAGGGCTGAGAGAGAGTGCTCTGGTCTCTTCCTCTTCTTGTAAGGACATGAATCCCTTCATGAGGACCCCACCCTCATGACCTCATCTAAACCTACCCCACCTCCAAATACCATCACATTAGTGGTTAAGATTTCAACATATAAGTTTTAGGGGACATAAAAATTTAGTCCATAACATGTCCCCTAGATCACAGCCTGGCACAGAAGAGGCACTCCAAAAAATGTCTGAATGAAAAGTGATGCCCATTATTTTTCCAAATGTAATTTTTTTAAAGGAAGACTGTCCCCCTACACCTCTTCAGAAAGGGGATTTCTGTAAAGTTCCTTGAGGCATGGCAGATCTGCTGAGAATGAGGTGAAAAGAGACTCCACCTTGTGCATCTTCCCACCCCCCCATACTGTTATGTCTGTCCTCAAGTTACGCCAAAGGTACAGAATCTCAGCCTCATCAACATCTGAGACAATCTCATTCTTTTCCTCCTTTCATCACCACTGAATGGTCAGTCCCAACAGCTGTGTTTTATTCAGACATCAAAGGACCTATCAAATAACCGTTTGCTTACACTTCACTTCAAAGGAAGGGTTTCACAATAGTTTTGGGTTCAGCTGTTCAAGTCAAGAGGATCAGTATAGTAAGTTCCAGCAGTAATAGTACAGCAGAGTAGTTAGAGCACGGTTCCTGAAGTCTAATTACCTGGATTCAAATTTAGACTCCACCAACCACCAGATGTGTGACCTGAGGTAAGTTACTTAACCTCTCTTTCACTTAGGTTATCAGTCTGGAGACAGAAACCTCCTGTTATTTCAACAGAGAGCACTTATAAAGAAGCATTAACTGTGCAATAAGAACTGAAAAGAAATCATAGAGATTAAAAATTGCATGTATCAGCCACTAGTAACTCCCTGAGTAACCTTTGGGCTTCAGTTTCTCCACCTGTAAAATGTGAGACTCGGAAAAGGATCCCTTAGCTTTCATTCTGCTGTCATGATGTGAGATTCTATGAAGCAGGGGGGAAAAAACTCATGCGTGGAGTCAATAACCAAAGTCAAACACCAAAGAGGACAGTGAACTGTGCTCTGGGGAATCTTTCCCAGACGGTCAGACCCTGCATTCTCTAGTTCTGGAGAAAAAAATCTCAGCCACTTCTGTTTAAGGTCAGTAGAGATCTGAGATGCACTTCCACTTTGGCTAGCTCCACAATCTGCTTGGGGTTGGGCAGTAGGAAATTGAGAAATCCCTGGACTGTGCCCTTGAAGCAGGTTTAGCAGCATGAGTCACTTGCCAGTCTAGAGCATCGGGACCCTTTGAAAGAGGCTGAGGATATCCCAATCAATGCACAAGAGGGTGGATTTAGATTAAATGTAGAAAAATTACACATAGAGACCAGAGATCAGTCTAGAGATAAAGTCCACTTTTCTATAAAGGATGTAGGAGAAGATGTTGGACAAGAAATACACTTTTCTGAATGTTAATATATATATGTCAGACTCTATGCTGGGCACTTTAAATATGACATATACTTGAATTTGTATGTGGCTTCATCCTCTCAAAAACTCTGAAGGCCTTTTTAGCACCATTTTATATATGAGAAAACTGACTAGGTATTTAACTGATTTTCCCACAAATTCTTTCTCAGACTCAGAAGAGATGTTATTGCAAATTCCTCTCAAATTCCTTCTCAGGCTTCTCAAATGACCAAGATGCTTCTTTGGCAATTTTTTCAAAGCAGGTCACAGATCCAGTGGAAGTTCTGGACCATGAGGATTTTCTTAAATGAAGATGATGTTGGTCATGGGGCTGAAGACGACGACAAAATGACAGACTGTTGCTCTGCTGCAAGCCTGGACCTAGCTGCCAAGATGCTTGGATTCCAGTCCTACTTCTTCCACAGACTTGACGTGTGGTCTGTGGTAGGTTCCTTCAGCGATACACCTCATTTGGAGAAGAAAAGGATCAGACTAAAATTCTCTCCAAGTATTTTGAGTTTCTTCAACCACTTTGGCTTAGATTTGCTCCTTTTTCAGGGGACAGCTTTGCCAGCCTTCAGGAAATTGTGAAAGTACAGAGCATGTCATGCTGCCAGATACTGCGACAGGCTGCCCTTTTCAGAGTCATCCTAACCCCTCCTTGCTCAGCCTTTCTGAGCAAACGCTCTTCTCCAAACAGCTTTAAAAGGAATGTGAAAGTGGCACCAATATCCCCATACGTCTCAGAATATGAGCTTGTTTGCAGCCCTGATGTCTCTGCCTCTGACTCCAATCCACTGGCATCTTTCCCAAGATGTGCCTGGACTTCCATGAGCATGAAGTTAGGAAGATATAAAGCCAGAGACAGAGAAGAGGCACCCAAAAGGAGTAACAATTAGACAGTGGGTCCCCATAGTGTGCTTTCAGTTTGCCAAGAGATTGGGAAATGGGAAAATAAATAAACTCTCCCAATTCAGAATTAACATCATTATCACTAGTTATTGAGTGCTTACTTTTTTTCTGTAAGCTCTTTACAGCCTTTCTCTTTAATTCTCCCAACAGCCTTATTGTGGAATTATTATTACCCATCCTCATTTAGTAGATGAGAAAACTCTACTAATAGGAGAGGAACTAGTTGACTTACCTACAGGAATGGGGGAAATGAATTTTAACTGGGACTGTGCAACTCACTAGTCTTCACAAGCTCTTTCTCATGTGTTGCATCTATTTCGTGACATTGTCCAGACTTTAAAATTTAGAAAGAGGAAGCAGGGGTACTGTAAGTGCAGTAAAACTCATATCTTATGTAATCATAAAATACCACTCAAGAAAGGGACAGGAAGTCTCAGAGGTTGGAGAGCAGAGCAGCAAGATCGGTCCCACAGGAACAGCCAGTAGGCAGCTCTGGGCGGGAGCGCCTCAGAGGTAAGCTGGCCCACCAGCCACAACACACAGGACTGGGCTGCAAGAACAGGTAGGCATCTTGGTTTGGATCATGAATCTTGGGGGGAGATTACTGTCTTTTGAACAGACAGTCAGGAATCAGATTCTTGTCTTGTCTCTGCTGCTAGCCACTTGCATGAATTGGTGAGTCAATTCCCCTCTCTGGGCCTCAGTTTACTTACTTTCCGAATGAGAGAATTGGGTGAGATGATCCTTAGGTTTCTTTCAAGATTTGAGGTGATGATTTCCTACAATCCTCTGCATTTCCTGGTATGTTCCTGAGTCTTGCACAGAATATGCTCTCAACAAATACTGTGCAATTAGATCAAATCCTGTATTAGGGCCCCATTGTTCTATTCTAATTCTGTAATAAAGAAAATTGCTGTGTCTAGAGCAGTTATCCTCCAAGCTATGATTCGTTTCCAAAGTGGGGATTTTAAAACTGTCTTGAAAAGTTGCAGGCCACCCCAAGTTTGTCTCCACTTGGTGAATGTAGAAGGACCAAACATTTCTCTCAGATATTGGAGATTGGAGATTATGGGCTCAGTCTGGAGACGTCTTGTGAAGCCATAAAGAATCTTGGTTTTATAGAATTCCTCCTAAAAAGTAGCAATATGTGTCAAAATTTAAGGATAGCCTTAAACTAAGTGAATCCACTTCTAAATGTTACTCTAAGGAGACAATTGAATAGGTGAGGCCCCACAAAGGTGCTAAGATGTTCACAATAGCATTGTTTATAATGGTAAAAACATAGAAACAACCTAAATAGCCACAAATATGTGGCTGATTAAATGAATCTTGAAATACCTATTCATCTGAATACATGATTTGGCTTTTTTTATTGTGGTAAAATACACATAACACAAAATCTAGCATTTTAACCGTTTTCAAGTATCCAGTTCAGTAACATTAGTGCATTCACATTCTTGTGCAACCGTCACCACAGCTGAACTCCAGAATGTTTCATCTTCCCAAACTGAAACTCCATGCCCATTAAACAATAACTCCACATTCCCTTCTCCTCTCAGACCCTGGAAACCATCATTCTACTTTTTGCTCTATGAATTTGTACACTCTGGGTGCCTCACAGGAGTACAATCATACACTATTTGTCCTGTGACTGGCATGTTTCATTTAGCATATTGTCTTCCAGATTCATCCCTGTGGTGGCATGTGTCAGAATTTATCATTTGCCTTTTAGATTTAGGATTTTCATTATCTATATTTATTAGTGTCAAATATGTCCACAGAATGATGTTGAATGCCAAAAAAAAAAAGATTTATAAATGGTGTGGACAGAGTGACCCTGTTTATGTAGAATTAAGAATGTGTGTAAACATACGTGAAGAAAGAGAAGAGAGACAAAATGAGAGAGGAGAAAAAGGAGAATGTGAAGGATATGTATGAAACAGTAGTTATTTCATGGTAGTTGAGATTTAAGCTACTTTTTTGTTTTTTTCTTTAAATCTTACTCCCTTTTTATTGTATTTGCCATGTTATGCACTCTTTTAAACAAAACAATTAAAAAATAATATAAGAAAATAAATGTACATGGTATCTGAGAGTGTGGTGAGCTAGAGGGTACCAACTAGGCTTCTAGGTCCTAGCTCCAGGCTTAGAGTCAAGCTTATCCTGTAGTTCTTGGGCATGAGAACTGAAAAATACAGAAATGAATCAAGAACTACAGAGACTTTCTTTTAATCCTTAGGTTGGACATCAATCTTTTTCTTTCTTTCTTTCCAATTTTA